CTTTGCTTGGCGGTCTGGGTTAGGTGAGGGAGAGGGAGGGAAACTCTCAGGGTCTAGAGTAAGATGGGTTCAGTAGGTGAATCATGGATCATCTCTAAATAAATGTTTCATTATAAAATTTTCATCCAGTCTCAATTGTTATCCCTCAGATTTTGGTAAAGAGAGGCACAGAGAGTTGAGGTAACATAGCTGCATAGCTGGGCTTAGATCACAGGAGTTCTTAACATCTCTACTTTCTTTCTCTAGATGCCTGGCTGTCCTAGTTATCATTACAGGCTGGGATTCTCAAGGGCAGCTAAGGGAGTTAGGAGCTCAGGATGTACATGCCTTACTGCCACAGGCTCCTTTGCAAATCCCAGGCACCATTTTCTGAAATTCAGGAGAAGCCCAGGCCTTGGAAGTTAACGAGAGAGACAGGGCCAGGATTACAAAGGGGTTTAGGTATCTAAAGCAGGAGATAGCTTCCTATTGGAATTTACAATAGCATCTAAGTAGGTTAAGCTCCTCACTCCCACTGAATGACCATGGGATTTAGCCACCTAGCTCATTTAGGAGCATTGATAAATCCCCGTAGGTGCCTGTCTCCATCTTTGTGATCCTGGCCCACAGATAACACAGAAGCTGGGCTGCAATCAGGGAACGCTGGGGGAGATTGTAGGCCCCGTGCTATGTGAGAGTCAGACTTGAGGGACAGAATGGCTCTTTTGGCTTTATCATCTAGGCATCTATGCACTCGCCTCTGGGCCTCTGCTGCTGAGCTGTGCAGGGCTCCAGGGAGTGAGTCCTGCTAGACCGGAGGAAATAGACATGAATAAATCACCTTCCCGCAGCATTAGTCCTTTAATGCCAGTGATGCTCAACGCCAGCTACACGCAGCTCATCTGCAGAGAGCAACAGGTTTGAGTCTAGTTCTGGCACTTCACTCTCAAAATAAAGGGGGAAAGGATTGTCAGATGCCTGTGCCTTTAGCTTCTAGATTCTGGTACATAGATAGATATTGACCAAAGAATCCTGGTGCTGGATGACTGAATGGATCATACGTTGGGAAAAAATCCACAAAGATCAGTACAGTAAGTTTCTATTTCAATTAAATATGTTTGGGGATCAACATACAGGGGAAAATTAAGATGATAAATATGAATTACAATATGAACTTGTTAAGACATTTACTCACAATTTAATCTGATAGCTATTGCTGATTGGAATTTTTCCACCCTTCAGGAAAATTTTGACTTTTTACTGAAAACCCCAAATCCATTTTTTTCCCCAGTTTTTGGCAAATGAAAACTTTTTGCTGAAAACTGGATTTTTTTAATCACAAAACCAAAAATGTTTGGGTTTTGCGTTTTCAATTCCTTTACAAACCAATCGCACAATTTTTGGAGAAAAGCAGACAGATTCTGAAATTTGTTGTTGTTTAGCTGAAAACCCACTTGCCATTAAAAAGAAAACAGCTGAAAATTTCCAACCAGCTTAAACTTCAAATAAATTGGGGAACATTAATATTGCCTGATAAAACCTTAATTTCAAATCATTTATTCTATTGCATCTGTGTGATTTCTCTTCCAAAGGGATAGTTGTGAGAAGGTAACAAGTGAATAACC